CTTCCGATCCGGCCGGATTCGAACCGACACGTCTCCTAGCAAACCGTGCCACACGCTATGCCAACAAAGCCACGGAATGAACCAGCGGACCTCGCGAATTTTTCTGTGTTTGTTGTCGGATCTTTATATAAGGAATTTCACAAAAAAATAACTGAATATCATAATGGTGAAGAATTCTGACATTCAATAAAATTGAATATGGTCCATTTTACTTAAAATTGGAATAAGTTAAAATGTAAGTTAAGTAGAGCATTATTGTCGCCCGTGCATTTGCCAAACGTCGTATCAGAATTAAGCTCGCCACTTTCCGCATTACAATGAAGTTTTTAATGAACACATTAAACTTTATACGTCATACAAAATTTTATACGTCTCAATTTATTTAGGAAAGTTTAGAAGACTAATTACGGAACCTACAGAAGAGTTCAGCCAAAATTATTTTTTTTAAAACAAAATTCAACAGTTATTTATTGCACATAATGTTACACATTTCCAAAGGTAGGTAAGAAATTAAAATACATACTTTGCCAACTATAGTACAAGATGACGCCCCGTAAGCGCATGGCAATATTAGCGGAGAAGGTCTCACGCTGTTACATTGTAAGTACAGACGGCAGCACGTCATTATCACGACGGATTTTGTTCCGTAGCATTGGAGGCACTATTCGAGCAAATGTGTATAACTTAAAGTGCCGTTGACTGTACCCATGATAATGTTATATTTATTTATTTAAAGTTAATTATTAATAACACGTAAAAGTCTCTAAAAAAAGTAAAATCACTCTTTTTGACACTCACTTTTAAGCATACCATTCCATCGGTAAATAATAATAACAATGACATTAAAGCACGCACTCATAACCCCGCACAAAGGGAACCCTGTATCGCGGGTGCCATGGACACACACATAGACAACTACAAATTACACCCAAATTCACAAGAGAAATAAATGTAGGCCATGCAAATATTTTTTCCGACCGGGGAATCGGACCCGGGACCTCAGCGTGGCAGACCGGTATGGTAACCGTTCGACCGCGGAGGAAGAATGTACGTAGATATATGTATAGATATATTTTTTATTGCTCACACACAAAAACAATAACACTACATAAACAACTGAAAACTAAAGCGGGCAAAGGCGGTCTTATCGCTAAGAGCGACCTCTTCCAGACAACCCCCGAGGTAGAGGCTAATCGGAGCGGGAGACGTAGTGTGCCAAATTACAAATAAAAGCGAACTGTATAAATAAAAAAATATATAAACAAAACTTACATTATAATTTATCAAATACTTCATAAATACATAAATATTAAATAAACTTATAGTTACTACGTAATTTAGAAATAAAAATTATGGCGTCTGAATTAAGAAGCAACCGTTGTCTTTTTCAACCTTGCTGCCTTTTAAACCATTACAGGGGAAGGTAGAAAAAAAGAGTAATATAACAAGGTAACAAACAAAGAAAGATAAGGAACATCCGCATTGTCGCACTAAATATCTAACAAATTGTTAACAGTTTAGTTCCCACACCCCTGTAATTGGTAACACGTGTTGGGAACAAAAGGTGCCGTTGTTTTGTTTCTTGTCTTGTTACTATTGTTTAAATTGTTTACCTGTTTACAGGAAGCGGTAGGGAAAAAATCACAAATTGTTAAGATAATTTTTAAAGCTGTAGTTACAAAATGTTATACTTAGTATGAACTATATAACACACACACACATATCGTGCGCCTGGTGGTAAGCGACACGCTGTCCATAGCAGTTGCAGTGCCATTCAGAGTTCGCAAAAATCTGTGGGATACTGCCAAAGTTGCAACGGACACCGAATGAACCCGAGTATCGTGTGATCCCGGGACTAGTTGCTTGTGAAAAATGGTCATCGCGATCTACCGTCTCCTATTTGCCAAAATTATTTCATCGGAATAGTGTAGGTAAACAAGGTCATCACCACTTATAGCGACAAAATATACCAACATCTATCGAAAATGAATTCGGGTTCAGATGATACAATTTTAATGTCATCTCCCGAGGTACAACTGAACCCGGGACTGGGTGCGACTCAAATTTAATTATTTTTGACAAGCAACCAGTCCCGGGATCACACGATACTATAGCATTTGGGCTCATTCGGGTTCCGTGGCAACTTTAAACCGACCCCGGGTTCAGATGCTACAAACCCCACATGTGCCTGTAATTTCACCAGCACCCTTTACCCTTCAAAATCGGAATGCAGTAAATCTCACATTACTGCTTGGCGGTGGAAATAACTCTTTCCTGACTGCCTTTGTGGCCGAACGGTTACCATGCTGGACTGTCACGCAGAAGTCTCGGGTTCGATTCCCGGGCCGGGAAAAATGTTTGTATGGCCTACATTTATTTCTCTCGTGAATTTGGGTGTAATTTGTGGTTGTCTATGTGTGTCTTTAAATCTTTTAATCTTTGCCATTAAATATTTCAATCTGGTGTAATTTTTAGCATAAATAAGTTTACCTCTCTTAAGTTTGTTAACATTAAGAATATAGTAGCTATTTTGATTATTGTACATCTGTGTCACTCGAGTTGTTGATTTTCCAAATACATAAATATTATATCTTTAAGTAACTTAAAAAAATAATAAACTATATTATGTATCAACTTTTACAATTCCACTATCGTGAGCAATTAAGAACAATAATAGCCTCAATAATAATGTCACGAAATTCCAAAATGTCTAAGACACCGTAACTATGTCGGCTCCAGCCATAAACACCATTTGATTGGTGCTAAATATGACAAAACTACCATTTGATTTGAAAAACTATACAGTCGTTTTGTTTGATACAATTTTATTTTTACTTTTTTAATCCTATCTCCAAAAATAACACTAATCAAATTACGTCGCTATAATATTGAGAATGCCACGGTACCGATGGTAAATAACGATGAAATCAAGAATGGAGCATGCTTGTCTATTCTGTCGTGTTGGTGTTTCTTTAATTTTAAAATTATCTACACTTTAAACATCAACAACGTTGATTGGACCGCCTTTTCACTGTCACTTTGATAGTGTCTGTTCACTCTCGTCTTGAAAAGATCTATTCACTCTCGCCTTGATAGTGTCTAATCACGCCTTGAAAAGGCTTGAGTTATTTTGTCAGGGAATATATTAGCAAGTAAAGAATTTCACACTTAGTGTGTTGCCCTGTAGCAGCACGTACTTGAGAATGAAATTATGAAAGAAAACGTTACGATGAAAGTTTCACCCTAAGGAAGGCTCACAACCCTATCAAAACCTTTTCCTTAGAGGAAATCCGGGCCTAGCAGTGGCTAAAACTAACAGAGTAGCAATTTGCAAGCAATAACTGAAATTACGCCTAACTACAAAGGACTTATCTCTATTAGGTACATCCGCGTGCGGGTGACCACAGTGCGTCACACGGATGGCACACGGCGGGTCAATACAATTGTAACCAACGGCCAGTGGGGCAAAAAGTTATTAAGAGGACGTCGATACTGGCACTAGAGAGGTTCCATACCGTATTCTCAAGACAAGATTTTTTTTAAAGTTCGCTTCAGAAAAATGTCATCTGAGGTCAAGCGTCGGTGTGACCGATGATGTTTGTCTAAAAAAATACTTATTTACTTTGCCCTTGAATAGTCCTAAAGTATAGTTTTCGGGAAACATATTAGCAGTGTATTCCTTTCTTTACCATGCGCATTACGATGAAGGAAGAAAAGTAATCAAAAGCTCTTTCATCAACAGTAAATTCGTCAAGTAATTTGCTTTGCTAATAATCGGTGAGGTTATATCTTTTTTTTAAACTGTTTGAGCTACAAATACGGCACGTATTTAAAAAAAATATACAAAAAATATACTCAATAATATTTTGAATTTTTTGTCATCACAAAATCCTAACAAGAAAAAAGCGCTCATTCATACCGGGATAAAATGCTAGCATGAATGAAATCACTACCTGAGAGGTAGTAAGGTAGGGTGTCGACTTTTTTTTCTTTAACCGGATGTGAGGCAAATTGGTCTATGACCGTTAGGTCGGACACTCTGTCCGAAAGTTCCGTGGTGAATGTGATTTCGGTGTTTTTATTTCGCCAGATTATTGGAATTAGGGAAGTATGGATGACTAGTGTATTATTTTCTTTGGACAAATTGTGATTTAAGACGATTGAAATGAGAACATCGGCTTTATGCGTATTGAAACAAGACCTATTTTGAGTACTTCAGGTATGTACGCAACTCTTTTCTTTTATAAATATCTTCGTTCCGAAGTTTTGATGTTAAAAAAATTAAAACGCTTTGTGATAATTAGATTCCTACCAGATTCTACAATATCTTTATAAAACAACTCGTAGGATGTATCGAGGCTGGTAGTGACAGAAATCTACGTTCGGCAAGGAGGTCAGCATCTACGCAGAGGTCAAAGCTACGCTAGACTACGCGCTACACTCGTAGCGCCTACGGGGAAAGTTAGAAAACCTCTACAAGGTCAAATAGGCAGGTGCTACGAATCACTGCGCACGTAATCAATTATTGTACAGTCTTTATCATTGCGTTTAACTGGTCAGTGAGGAGAGGCTTCTGAGCGTAAATAATCGTTTAGAAAATCTATAACCCCATTTTAATTAATAACATACAAATTCAACTTAATATATTATGTCTACACACAATTAAATCTAAAATAGAACTTATTTTAATAACTTTTCATTAAATACGTTGTAAGTATGCTGCATGACCTAAAGGTAAATTAATAAACTTTCTGCATATCGGGACCACGAAGTTGCGGATATGTGTAAGATGAGAGCGTGGCCTTCGCATGCGTGCGTGTTGTGCGAGTGGCAGTGGGCAGCAGCGGCGGCTGTGGCGCAGGCGGCGATTCCCGATCGCCCTAATCATTATCATCCGCAAATTAATCACGAGATAAATCATCGACGCGTGCGGGAACCGATCGAGACTATTTCGGCGTAGGCGGGGCGAGTGGAGGGGCAGCGAAGGCAGTCGAGCGCCGGCCGCCGACGGGATAGGACGCGTCTGGTGCAGCGCATGGAGCGAGCGAGCGCGACGATGGCGCGATGAAGACTTGCGGGCGCGCGGCGATTTGCTGGGCCTTCCTCTGCTTCGTCGGCGGCCTGGCTGCGCCGCGCCGCCTCTACTGCGAGCGCGCCGACGTTGCCTGGCGGGCGTACCGCGCCCCAGTCGCCTTCGAAGCCAGGGTCCAATCCCTCGCCAAAGACGCCGCTACCATACAGGTGAAGCGGGTCCTTCGCCACCAGGGACACTGGCCCCCAGAGGAATCCACCCTCAGGCTCAAACTGCCCAAGGATAAGTTAGAGTGCTCGGGACGTTTTGAAGTGCCGTTGAAAAATAGACGTAACTATATCGTGTTCGCGGAGAGGCGCGGGCAGCATACAGCCGTGGCTTTGGGACCGCCGTTGAGGAGGACTGGCAAATTGATGCGGAGGATTCGTGCGGTCTACAAGCCTGGTTACAGTGAGTGTCTAGTGATAAGGGTGATGTTAGCGGCCCCCGCACCGCGCGGTGTGACGCGAGACGTACGGGACCACATGGAAGTTGCTCCCGCGCCGGCAGTAAATCGGACGCAAAGGTATTTTGGGCAAATTGCTTAAGCCGGCGCTGATTACACTTTCCTCATTGTCATTTAATACGGCACTGAAAGAAGCAGGACGACTGTAATTGACATTGGTTTTAAGCATTTAGTCCTTAATTGCACATTTTGTAACACGATCCCTCAAACCTACAATGTTTCTGTCATTATCAGTCAATTTTCATGTGGTCCCACGCATGTTAACAGTAAGACTTGAGTCGTATCGGGTGAACAAAGACAAAGACGTAAAAGGTATCCATTACAATACAATAATGGAGTTAAAGATAGTAATAAATTTACTGGTAACAAATATGCGGTGGCGGCAGGTGTACGCGTGGAACAAGTAGCTATTATGAGTCCATTTTAGGCCCAGAAGCGAATAGTGGCCGAGACTAACGTCGCAGCAAAACACACTAAGCGAGCTACAGTAATACACGTCTTTATTTATGCACCCTTCGTGAACGGTCGCTGGGAAGCAGTACGAGACGCGACTAGACGATATAACGATGAAGATAATAAAAGTTGCTAACGATAATTATTGTATTGCTGTTATTAACTTTGTAGAAGTTTAGTTTGAAAATATAGCGAGCGATGGAAAATAAAATTTGATTAACATCAAGCTGATGCAATAATAATCCTTCAAGTACTCTCGTTGCGTAACTTCAAAGCGTTATCGCAGGAGACACTTTTCAAAAAAGTTTCCCAAAAACCTCAAATATTTGCATATACATTATCGTTGGACTGCATACCCAGTACAGAAAGTTTTTTCAGAAACCAAAACAGTCTCTTTAGAGCATGATAATGATGATTTTTTTAAACATGACACCTCTACAATATCAATTTATTTATAATAATTAATCTATACAGCATTGGAATGTCGTAACTATGTGAGAAAGTGACTGTCACGATGAGGATTTCCGGTATTAACAAACACAATCAATTGAAAAAAAAAACTATTAATTGATAACAAAAATCCTACTTCAAAAATAACTTATATCAAAATAATACCTAGTAGCGATAGCGCAACGTAAATTCCAAACAATTCTTGTCCGATTTGGTCCACTGGGAAGTAATCAGGGACCTTTTACATACTAATATTTGTGTTCTACAAGGGCCAGTCATGGGTCCATATTATTTACACCTAAAAGAACTCTTTCAACTAAACGAAGAGGATTTTTTTTAAAGCAACCAAAATCTTAATCTCACCGGAAAGGTGCAAGTGCCAAAAAACAATGAAACAGAAGCGCAGAGTTCACGTAAGAGATCGTAACGCTACATTTGACAGCTGCCACCGACAGTCCGTAACTAGAGCGTGCAGTGACGTCACATCCATTGAACTGCCGACGCTATACGAAAATTTAAGATGACATCCAAATGTTAGACCATTTGAAGAGATTTGTGAGCTGTCATATTGTGTAGACTACTTGGATCTTCCATAACGTCACGATTGTTTCTATGTTTGATGATTACGATAACATCATGTCCAATTGATTATGATACTAACTAATCGCACAGATAAATGTAAAAAATACGATAATACGTGATGTCGGTTGCAGAATTACTCTCCTTAATAAATCAAACAATGATATACGTGCCTAATACAGCGCGATCTTAGATACACATAAATAAGTTACCATAGAAAATAAATCTAGAATCACTACCATTTCCATATAGCCTTATCTCTCGATTGACTGCTATAAAAGCAAAAAATATGCTATCGAATCTTTTGGATAACGAAAATAATTATAGGAAATGAAACTATTTTTCCGGATTTAAATCGCGTATGTTTTAGTTTATTCTAATTTCTATTAATAATTAATAATAAATTAAACTTAATAAAAATTCATTCAATAAAATAATTTGTAAAACTTAATGTAGCGTAAATTGGAATGTTTTCTTTGTAAAATTAAAAATAAGGTATTTAATTAATAACTATTGTAACTATAGTGAAAAAATAGGGTGGTTTGCATTAATATTAGACATAACTGGTTGAAGACTGTACCACCTCAGTCAACCGTGACCATGGGACCTGTAAAGGGCCCGAAACGTCGGTTTGTTTGAAAAAACGCGATTAAAATCCGGAAAAATAGTTTCATTTCCTATGTGTAACAATCGCGAAAACCTAAGAACTCGAAACGAAAATAATTTTAAAATTATAATTGTATCGGATAGGGAACATAAACAACAATCAATAATAATATTATTTCAGTTTTTTCTATCATTATTCCTAGTAACTTTTTCCAACCACATTTTATCTCTCTATTTAACCACATCACACTACTTGTTGCACTAAAATCTAAAGCAAACTGTTTTATTCCACTTTATCCTAATTCCAAATCGGATCCATCTATATTTGACTGCATGTTTTCATTCCCTCGTTTACGCTATTCCTCGATTGTTATCTGAAAGCTTAGCTGAATATTTATTAGACAATTAACCAGGCTATTTAAGCAATTGGGAAGTGAAATCAATAGCCCAGGATTATTTTTTTACACATTTTGAAAAGTTTCTTGCGAAATAAAAACAAACTGATTTCGTTCTTATAATTATCAAAACGCTTTGAAACAATTCACGTAAATTTAAGGAGTGTATTATAATTAAAAAGGGTAAGGGCAATAGGATTGTACCTTGAGGTAGTATTACGGCTGAGGTGAAGCTTTTGAACATTTTCTTACATCTAAATCCCTCACCGATTTTTACTCTGAACTTTGAATTTTCATATTGAAGCCAATGTAATAGTGCTACAAAGTGGTTAGTAATTGCATTATCGGAGGCTATCGGTAGCAAACGGCAGACATCGGCACATCTTTGAAAGTGTGGCGCTTAAGTTGTTTACCCTGGCGCCCGCCTTTGCAAAGTGTTTATATTCTGGATATCATCTGTCATTTTTTCTTTTGTTAACAATTGCGTTTTCGTTTATTGGACTCTAAATCCGTGCCAGTGAATTTGATGTATTGTGGCGTTGTAAGACTTTGTTCAAGGCGATGATCATTTGTTTATTTAAATTCTCGAGTACTTTAATATCGATCGATCGTAAATTAGTTCTTTAAATGTTTGATATTTAGTTTAATTAATTTGTTTCTAATAACTATTGGCATTTAGTTTAAGATTAACTTCGATGATATCGATGAACGTAGCTGGGTTTTTATGAGGCTTAACTCTTTATTTCTAAGCACTTGTTAACGTTCATTTTCTAAATGGCTTTGTGTAAACTTTATGTTTCCAGACAGTGCATTTATTCCACAAGTCTAAAGTTCTCTTCATTGACCGTACCGAAGTGATCTTTTAATTTTTTAATAGCAGCGTAAGCAGTGTCGTCACGGGCGGCTGCTCCATTATTCTTGTTGCGCTCCGGTGCCTTTAGTGTCCCATTAAATATTACATATGTACATTTATTTTATTATTACATCGTTTCTTCGCTATTGAGATTTTCTATCACTAGTTTGAGTACCGGTTTAAAGTATTGTTTAATATTCTTTCTGTGGTTTGTAAACTGAAAATATTTACTACAAATTTTAAATTCAATTTTATAGTTTCGTTTACCAAGGTATCCATATTACATTAGGTTTTTCAAACTATGATGTACTATAGTAAAGATAATGAAAAAAATATTTATCTATTTTTTATAACAACGTAATGTTTGTTTTGTTGCGATGGGATTCTATATCACGTCGCAACATGTTGCTTCTTGATTTTTTTCTTATGAAAACACGTTTTCAGCTGGTCGACATGAATGGGTCTGTTTTATGTTAAGTAATTTTTATAGTAAGTAGACTGAACCTAGTGTGTAATAGAAGCACCTCTGCAACGGTATTTATTTATTTTAACTTATAAACAGCTTTTGATCAAAGTGATATAATCATTTATTCCATATGTAAAATTTTTACACTTGAAAACGTCATTTTAAGCTACTTTTTCTTTATAATATCAAGTGACGGGACGAACAAGTCGTGCACCTGATGGTAAGCTACACGCCTGTCCATAACAGTTGCAGTGTATCTGAGGGGCGAACTCTTTCACAAGGAGCTTTACTGCTACGAAAGGAAAGTTAGCACAGTAAACGAGCAGTAGCAATAAAACTCCTTATGAAAGAGATCGTCCGGGGAAGTACGTAGCCTTACCTATTTCTGCCGCCAAGCCGTAATGTCAGCATTACTGTGTTCCGGTTTTGAAGTCTAAGGGTGCTGGTGAAATTACGCATTATAACAAGGCCATCGGTCCAATAGCTCGCATTGTAATCGATGGGTGACGTGACAGACATCTATGCGACTACATGGCTGCATAATAGCTTCTGTATGAACTTTTTTATTTGAGATGAGTGTCGGTTTTTGCTGTACAGTGGTTGCATTTTAAAGTAAGAGAGCAACAACGAATGTGTAAGTAGCTGTGTGTTAAGGTCGCTGAAGAGCAGGGTTCAATGTTATAATTGTCATGATAATTACATATATAGGTGTCAAATAAGTGATATTCGACCAAATCGAAAACAATGTCAAGTATCATGCTTCACTCGCATCCTGCGTCTTTTTAATTTTAAGTAACAGAAGATCTCCTTGTGAAAGAGTTCGTCTAATGAAGTACTGCCACCTTGTCATTTCTGTCGCCAAGCAGTAATGTGAGCATTACTGCGTTCCGGTTTTAAAGGGTAAGGGTGCTGGTGAAATTACAGGCACATGGGGCTTGTCAACTTATGTTTCAGGGTGGCATGCACAGTAGCAATGCCCCTAAGATCTTTGCGATTTAAACTCTGAGTGGCACTGCAACTGTTATAGATAGGCGTGTAGCTTACCCACCAGGCGCACGACTAGTTCGTCCCGCCACTTGGTATTATAAAAAAAAGAACGAGCAAGAAACTCTAGGGATTGCTCTCTTTAAATCTTATTTGAGT